TTTCTAAAAAAAAAAAAAAAAAAAAAAAAATCCTCAAATTTTGAAAATGTTTTCAAAATTTAAGAACTAAAACAAAAAGGCTACAATTTTGATAAATACATCTAAAAAGTAATAATTTGTGAAAAGAAATTAAGAAAAAAATATATATATATATATAATACGTAAAATTTCTCTTTTTTTTCTTTTTCTATCTGGAATCGATGTAGAATCTATTAAGAGGAAACCAAATATGGTAGAAATGTGCTATAGGCTGAGATTACATGAAGGACCTAACACTCGAGGGTGGCCAATTATTGTCTATCTATTCATCGCTTTTGATTTTGAAGACTACATTGTTGTGGGTCTCTCATAAAATATAGACCCCTCCCTCCTCCTCAAGTCATGGAGTTCATTTGTTTATACCATCAACTAATGATCCTTTTGATTAATTGGTACTGCAAATACAACTTACAATGCTTCTATGCAAAATTCGACACGAGTCGATGTCTCTGCCGATGGATAGAAATTCGATTCAGTCTCGAGCTGCTTATGCTACTTCTCCCAAAGTTCCTTTTCTGTCAGCTGATAACGTAGTAGCTTCTTTTTTGGATTCATCGTCCAATCTTTCATTGAAATGGTCTCTCAGAAACTCCACAGCCATAAAAGTTAGAGCAGAAGCTGGAATATACCATGTGATTCTGGGTATGCTACCCCTAAACATCCCCTTCGTTCCTTCACTCCCCCATATAGTTCTCACTGCATCTAACCAGCTGTTATACCTGAGGATTTTACGAGAAAGTACCGTATATGAACATCATCTCGAACAACTATCAAGATCGATTAAGCCGATGACACTGGACGTGAAGTGCGGAATTTCTCTAGAAAAAACATATTCGAGCGGGTTGATAATCATCTGATACCTGAAAGTTGATCCCTGAACTTGCATTCTTGTTTTGATCACATCCAAGGGAGTGGTCAGATAAGCACTGAGACCTAGCAATTTCAAACCCATGTATTAGAACACCCAACCATACATGCTAAAAGTGATATTTTTAAAGAAAAAATGAACTTCAGAACTTGATTATTAACGGTGAAGTGCAGTCAAGATGCATACCACCAGCTAATCCCCCCAACACAAGTCCTTCCAAGGAGCTATTAACATCTGAATTAGGCATCCATCTTTGCTTCCCATGCTCGGTCAAATCTTTTAGCGCCTCATAAAACATGACCTGCAGTGTGATAAAGAAACCTTAATTGATAAATTCATCAAACAGACATCGATATCCCTTTGGAGGGAGAAATGCGATGTTCATTAATTTAAAATTGTTTGTTCTTCCCTCTGCTGATCCATTTGTCAGTGAGAAAGTCCACAAGACAGTCGATGAAAGCATCAAGAATTTTTTTTTCAACCCATTCAACTTGTGTATAGCATAAAGAACGAGACTAAAATAAAGTATAAAAGTTAAGCAACGGTGAAATAATTAAATATAAAATTACAATCTAAGGTAAACTTCTATAAAAATTAGTTCCATTCAGCGTACAAGGGTGTGAGCACAGTGAGCACAAGAGGTGTCCTTTTCTAGATTAATCAATTAGCAACTGAGAATTATGCTATGGATCTGGCATGACAGTAATATCTGTAGATACATAACTGATAAACCAATGCAGAACAAAACGATCCAAGAGCAACTAACAGATGCAAAAGGCAGCTAATTCAAACGAAGGTACACAAATTCTGAATTTATATACCATTAGACCAGCAAATGGCACATCCCTGGCAAGTGTAGACCAATATCTGGCAAGATAAAAGGACAGCATCAAAATCATGCAGAAGTTATTTTTCACTCTCAGTATACTTTGCTAACGAAATTATGAAAATAAAACAAAAAAGATAAAATCAAATGGTTCAGAGTTCAGACCCTGCATACAATCCTCTTAGTCCTTGTTGCTTCAAGATTGAACGACCAGCCTGGAACATCCCTGAATAATAGCCATACATTTGCCCACCATGCTTCATAGAGATATTATCCTTCATGGGAAGGGAGCTCCAAGATGACCTTGTGCCTTGAACTTGCATCCGTTGCTTCATTACTTCACATGGAACATATACAAATGAACCCAGTGTATCACCTGAAATGGACAAAGGAAAAGAAGAGTCAAAGACGATGTGTAGCAGTCCAAGCCCACCGCTAGTAGACATTGTCCGTTTTGGCCTGTTTCGTATCGCCGTCAGCCTCACGATTTTAAAATACTTCTGCTAGGGAGAGATTTCCACACCCTTATAGGGAATGCTTCGTTCCTCTCTCCAGCCAATGTGGGACCTCACACCATGAAACATGTAAAAGCTTGGAATAATGTTCACATAGTATTTGGTTTACAGTAATTAGCATTGGAGGTTCAGGGCCAACAAATAAAATAATTCGCTGAAGGGAAGTAATTGGATGTGGATGCCTTGGGTCACTGCCTTTGAAAAACGAAATAGGGGAATCCTCATTGATAGATCTGAACAGCGACTTATTCAGACATGAAACATAATCTATACGAGTCCCAAGAGAAAGGGGTAATGAATGAATCTCATTAACTAGTGTAGAATGAAACAAGAAGGGAAAATACACACATAATTATTCCTTTGGTGAATACATCAGCATTGAACTTCGTCAAAAAGGCTATAGTAATGATCATGAGATGGCATGACTCAAAAGTGAGATAAATCTTTTGGGACATCCAGGATTGCTTACCAACTGCTCCAGCAATGAAATGAGCCCAATGACCGCCAAGGCTAGGATGTGTTTCTTCAATCCATTTCTTGCTGGACTCAATGACACCAAAGTATGTAGCTCCAGTAGCAAGTGAGCCAGTAATTCCAGGAGCTATACCCCTATAAAAGCCTAAAAAGCGATTAGATGAGGATAAAAATCCAAATAATACAGCAAAGCTAGATGCGTGAACTTATCAAGTAACACAAAATAGTGTAAAGGGTACCCCTAAATCCGTCAATTTTCCATACTGATTGGACCATCTGCAACAGGCCCTTCTGATTCTGATATGAATGAGATAAATAACCAATTTAGAGTTAGGAAATTCAAAATAAACAAAGTCTTTTGGGGAGGGGGACGAATAATATATCACTAAATGCCGCAGAAAATCCATCATATTATGATTAAAGTAGAACTTAAAATTTTCACCAAGCTGGTATCCTGAAAATAAGATTGAAGTATTTTCATCAACTGACACAATTTATGAGCTCGCCTACGCATCATACTTGACTTCCATATAGAATAGCCTGGCTTTGAATACGAGTCTTTATAGTATCGATAGGATGCATCATTCCTTCTCCAAATGCTCCAGCAATAGCTCCCCATATAAATTCCCTCCATGCTGCAGGAAAATATAGCATATTTGTAATAAAGTATCTCTATCCATTTAAATCAAACATATAGCAATTCACTATGTGTGCTACAAAACTAAGAAGCTTATTATTAACTAAAACTAGCACGTATTTACAATATCTTCTCTAGCGCATCAAATACTTTGACAAAATCCATGAAGCATTAGGGAAGCAAACACTCAAATCTTCAATCTCTATTATTTTACTCATAGTTTTCCATGACGAAAAAGTCGAAAATAATTTTATTCTTATTTCCTACATTTCTCCATGTTCCTACTACTCTGCTGGTGAATTCAATCCAGTAAAGTAAACGATTAAGCCGCTAGCATTCCAGCAAGAACAAAGTAAAAAACAAAAATGCTCACCGAAGAAATGATTAGAAGTTGCAGTTCTCAAAGCTCGGTCGTTATTGGAAGTTGAGGAGTGGGCCGCCATTCGAAATGCGTAGAGCGAGCTAGAAGTTCTCCGTCTCCACTCTCAGATGGAGATGGCGGGCACTTACTCCTGTATTGGGTTTCTGGACAGGAAAAGTTAGGGCTTAGTTAAAATTTTAGTTAAATTGTGTATATATATATATATATATATAAAGTTTGATCTATAATTAATTATTTATTTATTTATTTGACTAATGGTTCAATTTCCCATCCAATATTGATTTTTCTAGTAAGTTATTCTCATTAAATTGAAACAGAATATCGAGTATTTATAATTTAATCCACAAAATTATATTTCAGTTTTATTTATTATTTTAGTCTATTAAATGAATATATAATTTATGGATGAAAATAAATGTTTTATTTAATATTTAAAGCACAATAATTTACCCCTTTTTATTTATGGCGGGACCTTTCAGTGAAAGGAAAATTGCGCGGGTGGGTAGTTGGGCGTCGGTTTTCTCTGTGCTATCCTGTCGCTGCCGCATTTGAATTGCTCGAATTGTGATGCGGCTGAATGCTTGAACGCCTCGCAGCAACACGTAACATCTCTATTTCTCTGTCGCATGAATTGAACTTTTTCAATTTTACACGAAGCGTTTAGTATCCTCCATCGTCTTCCTAATTATCTATTGAGATTTAGTATTGGACGGAGAGTCGTTGGACCGTTTTAGCTGACTGTATTGTTGATTAATTGTATCGGTTTGATTCAATTCTTTGATCTGTAGAAATGAACTGTGGAGTTGAGTATGGTTCTACTTGTTTTATGCTTTTGTTTTTCTCTGCTTAGTGATGGCTCTTGTTGTATTTTGGTCTATGACAGGAGAGATTGCATCTAAAACAAGCCGCGTCGGGTTGACAATTTCGAGATCCAGTGTTTAAGAGAAAAATGATGCACATTCAAGCGCATTGTCTGGATGGTGCCATTCGGTACGTTTCTTTTGACTCGGGATAGCAATTTACCATTCATCGAACTTTGATTTGGTTTCTATTTGTTATCAGTTTATTCTGTGCCTTGAAATTTGTTTCAACTTATTAATACATTAGTGCATATGAAACAACATATTTAAGCCGCTTTAGTGACTTAAAGGGACGAGGGTGGAGAGAAGTAATACACTGTAATGATAATAATTTATTCTTTGGCGGTTGTGCCCTCTCCGCTAGCAGCGGTGCAAATTTGTATAATTGAAAAATAATTTTCATCTAATAATTCTCCTTATGGAATACAAATCTAGTGGAAGTTTTGGTGGAGAACTTGGTGCAGAACCCTTCGAGTTCTCTCGCCAGTGCCGATGGACCACAGTAGAAAACCCCTGTTTAGAACCAAACCACCTTCTCGGTAAGTAGTTTTTTGGTTGAGGGAGGGGGGAGGGGGTTGCCACAGTCAACAAAGTCTTAGTGGAAGGATTAAGGAAAGTCTAATTTTTCTTTGATCTTACCAATTCTTTCTCCTCTGTGCCTCTGGACCAAATTCGAGAAGATGTTTATCCAGTTTGGCCGACCAAAATGAGTTCTTACCTAAAAATTGAAGAGATATAAACATGTCATCATTTCATTTTGAAATTTCAATCAATTGTTAACTCATTTCAGCAAACACTTCTTGATAATATCACACAGAAACAACATTGTTCTCTTGAAGGTTTTTCTTATCTAATTTCTTGTATACAGTAATTAACAATTATTTTGCTATATATTATCTATTATTTTATGAAAATTTTAAGCAAATAAGAAACTAAGGCAGAGAAATACCCTTTCAGTGTAGTTTTAAGGTAAAACACAATTAAATAGATATGGAAGAAAAAGTGGTTCTTCAGTAACTAATTTCGAAGGCTTAAGTCCAACTTAGCGATCTCAAGAATGCAGCATATTTCCCAAAGTAATACATATTATAAACTAATCTAGGCAATCTTGGCTGCTATGTGTACCTATGTTCTTTAGCATTTCACCTTTTAGGAGAAAGGAACACGCATTTTAAAGGATTTGATCGATTTAAAACTTGTTACTCAGTTCAGTGGCGTAGCCTACACTACGTGGGTTACTTTCTTTTTTAACAGGAAATTATGGGACTTACAGATTCCTCATTCAATTTTTAGACAAGGTAAGGTGGCCGATGGTTTATCTTTCTCTTAGATTCAGGCCGTGTATATGGAAACTTACAGGAGTCTTGGAGACAATGTCGATGCCCCTTCGAGTATAATGTAGGGCTTGAATTGCTCTGATCAAAACAGACCTTACATCATTTTCATGATGTACACTAGTGAGGAAATTGTGCATCTCCACAGCTAACTAAGGGCATTGTAACATAAGAATGGTTTTAAAAATACAAATGTCAGCCAGTATATCTCAAAGCATATTTGCAGAACTAAAGGTTACGTTGCTTTTACCTGAGTTTGGTCTGATTGTGTTAAATCGTTCATGAAGTCTTTAAACCAATCAAAGGAACTTTGCTCTCTCGTAACCCAGTAAAGGTAGGTTTTGGATTTACTTGGGCTGCCTTTTCCATTGTCAGTCTACTCAATTTTAAACCAAAGTCAAAGCTTTGTTGATGGTAAGTAATGGAAGGAAACTGAGGCAATAAAATCAGGGGAAAAAGGAGTCTTACATGGCCGTCACATTTCCCAGTTAATCTGTTTAGAACATCTTTTAGGATGCTCATGAAGGGTGTGGCTCCAATACCCAGGCCAATTAGCACCACATGGTTGTACTTGACATGGTCTTGAGAAGCAGCACCATAGGGTCCATCAATGAATATTTTCGGGTACTCCTTTGAAGCAGAAGTTCCCTAGAAGTCATAAATTTGTATAATTGAGACTGACTTGATTATCCTTCCATTTTACCTCTAGGTAGAGTGTCAGCTTTAAGTTAGAATGCTCAACCTAGTCCTAGAGAATGTATCTAGTACTTATCATAGAACTCTCTCTTATTTCCTTCATGATTCAAGTTCTCATGAAAAATTACACTAATTACTTATAAGAACTAAACAATAATGAAAGAGATATGATGCTTTTAGAGAATTGTAAAATTTTATCTTTCCCACCAATCACCCTTCACTCATTACCTCATGAAACAGGCTGTATAGCTCATAACTCCAATCTCCCAGATTTCTGATATGCATGCTGAGGTGGGTATCTTGTGGGGCAGAAGTTAATGAAAACGGGTGCCTAAAAAACGAAGAAGATACTTTATCACATTTTAGTAAGTAAAGAATTAATGAGAATAGCTATTAGAACTTAGAAGACTGAAACTTATTAGGATATATTACCATTCAAATGGGGAGATTTGAGGGCATTGGATTAATACGTACATCCCACTTCGATACTTGAATCTCTCTGGTTTGCTCAACTTGAGAAATAAAACTTTTCCTGAATAAGTCCTTGCCTTTATATAATACAAAATAAACATACAAATGTTGTTAAATACTCATATTAGAGGTTGCTGTCCTCATCTCGTTTCAATCGGAAGGTAAAATAGGAATACCTTCAAAACTTTCACTTCGTACAAACATGATCTAATCGCTCTATAAATCCTCTCTCCAGTATATAATAGAACTGGAATTGCTATATACATCCAAGTCTTCACAAAAACAAAAAAAAAAAAAAGGAAAAAAGGTTGAACAGATCAGAATCAGCTTTAAAATTTGAGCATCTAGAGAATACTTCGAAGAAAAGATATGGTGGATTTTCTTTGTTAGAGTTCATATTTCATCATTTTTGTTCCGTGGGTACATCGGTAAGCAAAAGTTTCCCTATTACCTGCTCTATTGTCACCTCATGATGGTCAATGGATTCTGCATAATTTCAAAGAGAATCTATGATGCACTTACGAAATTCAAGCTGAGAAAAGTGGCTTACCGTTTTTTCAGTTGCTTTGTCGGTTAGGAATAGGAATATGGAGTGAACTATGAGTAATGCATATACAAATACGAACAAATGGTGGGAATACCAAAATGTATTATATCCTGTGACATGTTGGATAGACCTTGGAAGTGTGGCTGATTTGCGGCGCGGCCACTTTGTAGCCAGCAAAAATGCAATTGCCATCAATGTTACCATAATAATGCCTGTTAACGTCTCAGTTGTGGACAAGATTTCAAGGTAAGATGGCTGATGGTAGTTGAACCGAGAAGCAATAGTTCGCTGAAAAATTGACTTGTCACAGTTACTAATTCTTGGAAAATCACAAACAAGATGGGTTCCTCCATGTAGGATAACTCCGACTGCAATGCCTCCTGCAACTAACTAGGTTGGAAAAACATATGCATTAGTGTAGTTTGTGGACAAACCAATGAAAATTTAACCAAGTACATACAGAGGAGTTGCCAAATTACAGACTTGTTTTTGTTATGCAACCCAAATATAAAATACCGAAGCTTCGTTTACCTTGTGGAAATTTAAATTGTCGTTGAAAGGAATGACCGAGTTCAGAGACAAATTTCTACGAAGCCGTGTAATTGTGCTTCGGCAAACAGGGAGCAAGATTAGAGCCATGTTAAATTTCAAAGTCTCTGCTGCTCCCTTGGCAATCGAGAGGCAATAACCCATGACTTCAAATTCCATTCGTCTGCAGTATTGAATGAATTTCCAGTAGAATAATGCAAGGCATATGACCAACCACAAAGCCACCATCCATGCTCGTCTCCATTGAGATCTGAGCAACATTTCAGCCTCACATATCGACTCTTGAAATGGGTCATGGCTATGCCCATTGTGTGAATTTGATGACCGTTTGTTTAGAGGGGAAATAGCGTTAGGCGAGGTTATCTTGAACAGCTTCTCAAATTGAGGTAGCTGCAATTTACGTAACAGATTAGTGTAAAGAAGATTAGTAATACACTGAATATTACTAATCTCAAAGACTACAAAGCATATTAGTTTAACTATAAAGCCTTAGAAGACTCGTAATACACTGAATATTTTGTCGCCTCTATCGTTTGAATTCAATGCATGTATATACACTTACACATGGCTGAACAGAATGAGTTGAATTTATGTCACAATTTTTCTCTCACCCAGAGAGTGATCAACATAATGTAACCAGAGACATTTAATAAATCCATCACCAAAACGGTTACTCCCCCCCCCCCCCCCCCCCCCCCCCCCCCCCCCCCCCCCCCCCCCCCCCCCCCCCCCCCCCCCCCCCCCCCCCCCCCCCCCCCCCCCCCCCCCCCCCCCCCCCCCCCCCCCCCCCCCCCCCCCCCCCCCCCCCCCCCCCCCCCCCC